TTTTATATAATTATTTTTAATTATTTATTAATTTTTTTATACAACAGATATATTTAATTACTTATTCTAATAAATAAATTTATTAAAAACTAAAATATGTTTTAAATAAAGCCGACAAAGATACTTAAATAAAAAATAATTCTTATATTTTTATAATCCTATAACTAGAATATTTTCATATATAAATTTCTAATAAAAACTAATGTCTTATTTCTAATATATCTTATAATCATTTTAAAAACTTAAAATATTAATAATTATTTAATATTATTTATTATTTTGAAATAAATAGTAGTTTGGAGTATATAATTTAGTTTCTAAAAATTATATTATAATATATTACTATTAAAAAACTATTCTAGATTATATAATTACTAGATCTTATTATATTCTTTAATAGATCTATCTATTTTTTAACAGATTATATATATATAAAACTATATATAATATAAAGTTAAACCAGCTGTTTAATTTATTAAAATTATTTATCTTAATATTTTAAGACTTTATATCTATTTATTTTAATATAAAAACTATTATTAAGTATACTACAGTCTATATAAAATATAAATATAATATTAAATATAAATCTATATACTTTGATATAAGTAATAAAATATATTTAAGACCAAATAAAAAATATAATATATTTATTATTAAAAATATTTTATATAAGCTGGCATATTAGTTTTTCGGTTTTTTAGTATTGTTAAATATATTAAATACTATATATACTATTTTAAACTATTTAATATATTTAAAATCTATTCTGTTATATTAGTACTATAACTTAAATTTATATTTTAAAAGAATCTTTTTATATATTAACTACCCGAACTGCCCGCGGTTAATAAAAATTAATAGAAAATTAAATATATTCTTAACAAATATTTATATTATTATAAATAAGATTTTATATATATTAAATATCTTATATGTTAGCTTAAATACGGTCCGGAGTATAACTAATTTTAATTCACCCGATCTTATTTATACTTTTAAAAATAGTATTAACTAGTTATTTATATTCTGTTTTATATTTTATTAAGACTATCTGTCTAAAGTATATTTTTTCTTTTTATTAATTTTTATATATTTATTTATATTCTATATTTTATACATTTTATTTTTTAATATATTTATATTATTTTCATATATTTCTATATATATATATAATATTGAGAATAATATATCTTTTCGGCAGAAGTAACTATAACTATTATATTTAATATTTGATATATTAAGACTTTTATATCTTTTTATATTATTATTTATAGTAATAATATCTATAGTTTACTATAGGTGATATACTTAGCTTTTCGGCCTTCCAGGCTCTTTATCAAATAAACAACTTCCATATATTTACTCTTTGTTATTAATGATTCATTCACAAGTAATTACTAAAATTAAAATATTTATTAATATTTATAAAGTAAGTATTAATATTCTTATTAATAGTATGTATTTCGGATTATAGTACAATAGTTAAAGGCTAAAAATCTTTCTAAAAAGATTTTCAAAAAATAAAAGTATTAAAAATAATAATAAAATTAGTCGGATTTCTAAATAGTTGGGCAGTAGAGGAATAAACAGTCAAACTTATAAATAGTTTTTTACTAAAATTACCTTATTTTATATTTATTATCTTAATTATTTTGAATATTTTAATAGTTTTAATCTTAGTTTATTAGTAATATATAATTATTATAAATATAATAAATAATATATATACTAAATTAAGTAAGTCGGACTGGCCAGATATTTTTAATATAAATAGTTTACTAAAACTAAAAATAAATATAGAAGTACTTAATATAGTTAATAAAAGATATATTTAATCTAATAGATTTAATATTTTAGTTTAGAATCTGGAATTTAATTTATATTTATTTTATTAGATATAAAACTCGGGCAGATCTAATATATAATATACTAAATATAAAAATTTACAAATAGTTTTATTTTAAAATAAATAATTTATGAACCAGTTTAATATACATTAGAAATCATAATTTCAAAGTAGCTTGATAATATATAACTATATATATAAAAAATAGTAATATTATAACACAGAGATAAAAAAATAAAAGAAAAGAAAATAGTTAAAATTCTGGTTTTTATATTATTAAAGTAAGGCGCAAGCTTGATAAAAAATATTAATATTTAAAAAAATATATCTAAAAAACCCAGGATTATCTTAAATATACTATTAATTTATTATTAATATATTGGACTAAAAGCCCTGAAAACACAAAAATATTAAAATAATATAATAGTATAAAGTTATTATTCTTTCTAAGTATGAAATATAGAGTATTAAATATAATTATAGAAAATAAAAAGAAATAAAAGAAATGAAACAGAAGCAGTAAGATAGAAGAAATAAGATAAAAGAAACAAACAGAGTCAATAATAACTATATTTTAAATAAAATCAATCTAGTAAATATAAATTAGAAATAATTAATATATTCTTTATATTTCAATATTAACTTGTTAAAATAATAATATTATTTTTATTAATAAGTTAGAGTTATATAACTAATAGCTTTAAATTTTTTTTAAAAAGTTATAATTAAGATTATAAAACTATTTCTAATATTTTTAAATATTAAAAAAAGTTTAAATTAAAGAATATTTTTTATTTTAATATTTATTTTAAATTTACTTAGTAAAAAAGACTTTTTATATTTAATTTATTATTAATCTAATATTTTTTGATTAAATTTATATTATAATTTAGCAACTTATATCTATAGCTGTTAATAGTTTTATAATTAATTAATAATATGTTAAACTATAGTAAAATCCTCTATAAAAATCTTAAAATAATAAAAAAAATAAGCTATTAGTTATAATAAAGTTTTTTAATTCTAAATTATTATTTATTGAAAACTATTATTAAGATATATTATACTTAATAAATAACTAAAAAAGTAAGAATTATAAAAATAAAAAATATTAATTAAATATAAAATAATAGTGGTTTTTTATTTTAAAACTAGTTTTTACTATTTTTAGATATATTAAGATTCGAATGATTTTATATATTAAAATAATTAAAAATTATTAATATTATAACTTCTTTGATAAAAATATATAGCTAATCTATTAGGAATACTATACGATTTTAGAAATTATCTATAATAATATAAATAATCCAGTATATAATAAAATAGAAAATATAATATAAAAAATTAGAAAAGTTTAAAAATATAACAATTCAACCAAAATCAACTTTAGAATTATATATCTTAATCTGGATAAGCCGGATATACTACTATATATAGAGTATATTAAGTTTATAAAGAAGTAAGTTGATTAAATAAGATAAAAACACAAAAGATCGGGCAAGCCGAAGTTCTTCTGCTTAGACGATAAATAAAGCGGTCTGTAGACGGAACGGCAGAATAATTGATATGGTCGATATATGCCACAACAGCTGAAATCGAACCTATACTATTAAATAAACTGTATAAGCTATATACTATTAGATTATCTGTATATATATACAAAGTATTTTTCCGGCTGCTTAATAATAATTATTCGTTTGTAATTAATATAAAACAATATAAAAACTATATTTCGAGAGATAAAAAATAATTATTCTCAGTAAAAATGCTTAAAATAGTTAGAAACTATTATAACTATAAAAATATAGCTACGAAAACCATATTTTACTATATATAAATATTTTCTTCTTGTATCTAAAGCCTAATTACTGTTTTATTACTGTTTATTCCTCAAACCTATTGTACAACCATTTAACAACCATTTAAGCACCCTGCCCTTTCCGACAAGGCTCCATTGGAGGAAGTACGCAGACTACTTTCGCGGGACTGTAGTCCCGTGCATTCATTTGCCTTCTTGTCCTTTATCGTCCCAAAACTTATTTTTCCCTCTCGCGGTCATAAGGCATCAGTAGTGTTTTACTTCGCTCGTTATCCGTACTCCCCTGATCAAAACATAGAGATAGAAAATGACTCTCCGTCTGAGATTGGCTTGTCAATGTCTATGGGGTCCTACTTTGTACAAGCATATATCTTGGAGCCTTATATGTCTACAAATGCGATTAATATGCTGAACAAGCATTTAACTTGCGCTTCCAAACAGACCCGGCTGAAAATTTCCTACGTGCTCAAGCATATTTGCTGCGAGGGTGTCTACTGAGCAATACCTCTATCTTACTCTCCGCGAGGCTCCTCGATACCTTCTACATCTGCTCTTAGGCCTATGGATGCAAATGTCTATGTTTTGAATATACCAGCATATTCAGCCCTGTCACCATTCATCAATACGAACACAGGAAGCTGCTGCTGCGGCCCTCAAAATAGCTCACGAGATATCATGGGAATTCAGCACTGCATTCTCAAATATTGGTGTGTTTCCTTCGATCTCAACATCGCACTGTACACGATGCAGTAAAGTGTATCAAAAGTCGGCGAGAGTTGCAGCAAGTGTCGTTGGAGATGCGAAGAATGCTTGATTCTGTGGGCGTTGAAGCTGGGGACCAAGAGCAATTGAATACAGGAAACAAGGTAGCCGAGGTTAACTTATTGATGGTCAAGGTTCGTATTCAGATAGATTACTATTTTAAGTCAACCACAAATAAGCTGATCCGGGGTATAGTCGAACCGGGTTATTGGAGCTCATCTCTCCCCAACCGTCTAGTTCAATGTGGGCAGCGTATAGCCTAAGACGCCTCGGTCTTCATACTGACTTTGTTGGCCAGGTAACTGAAGAACCAGAAATTGGCAGTAGCTTCACGGCCACCCAATTGGAGCAATGGATTGCCAAGAATGTAACATGAGGTGACTTCTCAGGCTGAAATGGAATCACATGTGAAGAACGAACTCGTGGCATCAGTTTGTGTGAAGCAACTGTCTGGTTAGATGTTCATGTACGAGTCTCTTCTGATCGCACAAAAAGTCCGCTTCGGAGCCTCGGTCTCCTGTTTGGCATAGGCAAGCCCGACGGAGTTCTCAATCGTACTCCTCTTGCTCACTGGGACAGCGGTGGCTGATAGTTGAGAGGACGTCTATATGTTGTTGTCAGAGGTATCGTAATCGGGCGAATGTTTGAAACTCACTTGAACAATAAAATATGAGGTTCCGGTTCATGTACTTCGTAATGCTCCCAGCCCAAACTCTGTACAGTGGATTAGAACCACCTTGACCTATCAAATCGTTATAGGCATCATTTTCAACCAGCCATACCTGAGTTATACCAAGCGCACGCCACTCATCTTCCCAGAGCAGTTTTAAAGTTCCTTTTGCGCTATCAAAGTAGTCGGCCGGTATCTTTTTCAGCATGTTCTTAGGAAGTTGGACATGTCGGTATTCGAATTGATCATCAGAGTATCTAGAAACCAGAGGACGGTGAGAACAACCCATACATTCCTGGTCGAATTAATTACCTGGCAGAGTAGTGTATAGAGTCAATGAACTCTTCGAGTCTCTCACGTTCTGATTCTAGTAATAGACGTGGCTTCTTGTTTCTTCTGCTCATATCGATATCCATCTGGAACGACGAAGGGGTTGATGACACAGTACAGACGAAGTATTCTAGTTATAAGCAAGATAGCTAGGTTAGTGAGTGGAGAATTCGAATTTCATAAGAAGAAGATAATCTCTGGTTCTGTATGGAAACTCACGGTTCAGGCAACAGTAGACTGCAATAGGCGCAGGAACCGGGACAAACAGTAAGATTTGAACACGGGTACAGTGCGATCAAATTCTCTCCAATGACCCGGGATGTAGTAGAATCGTGATATGCATGCAAGATTTGTGATTATTCTCGGGCCGAGGGAGAGAAAATTGGAAGGGGTCGACTAAGTTAACCAAGTGGCTTTGCAACTCTTTGGGATACTGCTAGTGGGATTATCCAGGTTAATTTCAGTGCCTGAGGTGTCAATTATATAGGATGGAAATATCTCTACCGATCAAGTCCTAAACCCTTGTTCATACACTATGCACTGGTCTTACTCTATTTGAACAAAAGTTTTTGAGCATATTGGATAGTGCTAAAAATTCTCTTCTTCCAATTGAGGTTTCGCTAGTTACAAGCCGATAGCGCAAAACCTATGCAGTATCAATAACATGTAAGTAACCAATCTGATAATGAACTGGAAACCTCGCAACAACTAGAGCAGCATGACAAAAACAATATCTCTTGTTTCTCTGTGTATGGTTCCATGAATACATTGAATGCTTGGTTCTATTGTTCAAAGGACACATCTGATCTTGCCGGGAGAGGGATAGGTTCAATAGCGTGGAGGCTGGACTCGATTTGAGATACCTCTAGTATTGGGATATCTTGATGTTCTAGGACAGTTTACAACACTTGGTAGTCTGGTTTTTGTTTGAACCGTAGCTGATAGCTTGTGCCATTCTAGCAAAGGCTGTATGATTTTACCACTCTGTTTTTTTTAGAAAAGAAAATGGGTCAAATGGCCTTCTAGAAATAAAAAGTTGCCTGTGATCAGGGTTCTGGGTTCTGCCCTTCTGAAACAAAGCAATCTCTCCGAAGATTACACACTGTCTCACTCAAATATCTTATCCATCGCTACGCTGTATTCTGTAGGGCATTGTGATGGTGTATTGCGGACATAAGATAACATTGACAGTTATACCTATAATAAGTCCAGTAAGGGACTGACTGCGAGAAAATCACAGGTAGAAATTGTATTGACTCGGGTATACAAGGCCGTTAATATGTTCAAAAGTATGAGCTCTTATGTGTTATTCAGAATGTACTATATAGTTCTATACCAAGCTTCAAGACCTCATCTATAGCAAGTCTGTAATGTGAAATCTAGAGTTCTTTTTCATATACTCTTTGTATCTTCTGTTTCCATTTTGCAGATTACTTATAGGAACAGAATATGTTATCAGTAGCCTTTCACTCAGTACTCCCTTATTACAAAATAGTCAGCAATATAGCGGTTTATAGTTGGTTGATGACACTCGCAGGCAGTTGCTTAGTACTTTTACGGCTGTGAGGAATAATGTGTGGACTGTGAGGATAAAGTGAGGCCTAGGCTTACTAGTATACTAGGCCTGACTGGATAAGTATCCATAGCCTGACAGCTGGCCGTACCTGAGATGGCAAGGAAGAGGCTGCGCTGCGTATTGAATATTCTCGGTTCCAAGTTGCCAGTCTTGACAGAGGTAATGGCTAGATGACCTAGCCTATTAAGCAACTATGTAAGTTAACATAATACCGAAGCGCAACGGCGATTACTAAGGGTCAAGTGTTACTAAGATAGTAGGTCATCTCAGCCGAGGGCGCGGGAGGGTTGGAGCCTTGGAGGGAAACGAGAACCAAAGAAAAAGAGGAAAAGTGGGGTTTTTTCCTTCCATTTTTTTTACCTTTCCCTTTGCAGAATAAAAATTTAATCACTCCCACCTCAACACCTGGGGCGTTTTTTATAAGACCTTCTCCCTCCAACAATCTCCCCCAAAATTTTCACCTAGATTCCTCCCACCTTCATATCAGTTTCTCACATCTTCAATATGGCTGACGAGGTTTATGAAGGTGCCATTGGCATCGATCTTGGTATGCTAACCCACCTTGCTATCTTCATCCATCGAATGTGAAATTTTTGTACAACGTGCAGATGTTTTCTGAACATGGCTGACAACAAATTCAGGCACAACCTACTCTTGCGTTGCCAACTATGAAGGCACCAATGTTGAGATCAGTATGTATCTGCCTGTCATTGGACATTAGCCGCCATGCTTAACAAGTCCATTAGTCGCCAACGAGCAGGGTAGCTACACAACTCCCTCATTCGTTTCCTTCACCGACAAGGAACGTCTGATCGGTGAGGCCGCCAAGAACCAGGCTGCCATGAACCCCGAGAACACTATCTTCGACATCAAGTGAGTATTATCAACCCATCGAGGGCTCCTCTGTTACATGCAGAATCTGATGCATCCTAGGCGTCTTATTGGTCGCCGGTCTGAGGACCCTATTGTGAAGAAGGATATCGAGTCGTGGCCTTTCAAGGTTGTCGACCAGGGTGGCAACCCTGCCGTTGAGGTCGAATACCTTGGCGAGAGAAAGACTTTCACCCCTCAAGAAATCTCCTCCATGGTCTTGATGAAGGTAATCGAGTTGTGTCCAAAACCGGTCATCGGGTCGGGTACTGACCTCTGAGATAGATGAAGGAAGTTGCCGAGACCAAGCTCGGAAAGAAGGTTGAGAAGGCCGTTATCACGGTTCCTGCCTACTTCAACGACAACCAGCGTCAGGCTACCAAGGATGCCGGTGCTATTGCTGGCCTTAATGTCCTCCGTATTATCAACGAGCCCACTGCTGCTGCTATCGCTTATGGTCTCGGCTCTGGCAAGTCCGAGAAGGAGCGTAATGTCCTCATTTACGATCTGGGTGGTGGCACTTTCGATGTGTCCCTCCTCAACATCCAGGGAGGTGTCTTCACCGTCAAGGCCACCGCTGGAGATACCCACCTTGGTGGACAGGACTTCGACACTAACCTTCTAGACTTCTTCAAGAAGGAGTTTCAGCGCAAGACTGGAAAGGACCTGTCAGGTGACCCTAGAGCCCTCCGTCGCCTGAGAACCGCCTGTGAGCGTGCTAAGCGCACTCTGTCCAACGCCACCCAGACCACAGTTGAGATCGATTCTCTGTTCGATGGCGAGGACTTCAACTCCTCCATCACCCGTGCCCGTTTCGAAGATCTCAACGCCAAGTCCTTCTCGGGCACTCTTGAGCCTGTCCAGCAGGTCCTGAAGGACTCCGGTCTTGAGAAGAGCCAGGTTGACGAGATCGTGCTCGTCGGTGGTTCCACCCGTATCCCACGTATCCAGAAACTTCTCAGCGATTTCTTCGATGGCAAGAAGCTGGAGAAGGTAAACATGCCACCCAATAATCACCTATCGACTCATAAATTGACATGATTGACAGAGCATTAACCCCGATGAAGCTGTTGCTTACGGTGCTGCCGTGCAAGCTGGAATTCTGTCTGGAAAGGCCACCTCCGCCGAGACGCAGGATCTTCTGCTCCTCGATGTTGTTCCTCTGTCTCTTGGTGTTGCTATGGAGGGTAACATCTTCGCCCCCGTTGTTGCCCGTGGCCAGACTGTCCCTACCATTAAGAAGCGCACCTTCACAACCGTTGTTGATAACCAAACCACCGTGCAGTTCCCCGTTTACCAGGGTGAGCGTACTAACTGTGCTGACAATACCTCATTGGGCGAGTTTACCTTGGCACCCATCCCTCCCATGAGAGCTGGTGAAGCTGCCCTTGAGGTTGTCTTCGAGGTTGATGTCAACGGTATCCTTAAGGTCACTGCTACTGAGAAGTCGTCTGGTCGTACTGCCAATATCACTATCTCTAACGCTGTTGGCAAGCTTTCTACCACTGAAATCGAGCAGATGATTGATGGTAAGACATTTTGCCGCTCTAATAGTTCCTTGCACTAACCACACGTCTAGATGCTGCCAAGTTCAAGTCTAGCGATGAGGCTTTCACCAAGAAGTTTGAGTCTCGCCAGCAGCTTGAGTCCTACATCTCTCGCGTTGAAGAAATCGTCTCCGACCCCACCATGTCTCTTAAGCTCAAGCGTGGCAACAAGGAGAAGATTGAATCCGCTCTCAGCGATGCCATGGCCCAGCTTGAGATTGAGGATTCCACTCCCGAGGATTTGAAGAAGAAGGAGCTTGCTCTCAAGAGACTCATCACCAAGGCCATGGCTACTCGTTAATCCTTCTTCCAAGCCTCATCTGCTATAATAATCGTCCGTCTTGAGACCAGAGAGCCTGCCTTCCGAGTTACCCCCGACCCTTACTTGCTATTTTCAGTGAAGAATCATTTCGCTACACATGAGATCAAAGACTATGATGTTACCTACGGACCCTTTCTGGTTTGAGAGTGTTTATTTATGATTGGGGAGACAAATATGAAAAGTACATTTTTTCTCGTTCAAAGGTTACACAATGTGCCATCACTAGACATGGACCTACACACAAGTAATTAAGTAGCACTTGGGCGTAATCAACACATGAATGTTTCACTCTGACCTTAAGAAAGCTTCGATGTTACCCATACCAAGTGGGTCTAGCCTAATGTTGTTATGTAATATGTACAGCATGCGCAGTATGCTACTGGCTGGTCCAGTCTTAAGTAAGCCATGCAAAGCTTCAAGCTTAGCAGAAACCTCGCATGTGTGGTGACCTTGTCAAGACCAAACCACTCTGCGAAACAGACCAACACCTATCTAAAAGCAATGCGTGCGACTACAACACTTTCGCAAGTCTTTGGCGCTCGATGCTTCCCTCCAATCGCTCCAATAGTTTCTTCCTCACCGCTCACCGGTTTGCATAGGCTCTCTGCTCAACACAAAGTTGCAGGTGTATTGGAATATCGCAATTTTTCCAACTCAGCTGCACTTCACAAGAAGAAGGATAAATTAAGATCATCTTCCAGCGCAGTAGCCGACGATAGAGCCCTTAAAGACTCACCATCTTCTGGTGACCCTTACGATCTCTCACAACTTCATGATGGTATTTCTACTGCTTTGTCCAGCTTGAAAGATGATCTCTCTAAATTCCGCGGCGGTGGTCGGTTTGATATAAATGCCATTGAGAGCCTTCGGGTACAGCTCAGCAAGGCGACGAAAGAGACACTGAGACTTGGAGACTTAGCCCAGGTCATACCGAAGGGCGGACGCATGGTTACGGTCTTGGCTGCGGAAGAGGATGTATGGCAATTCACCCTTCCAAGTTGGCCTTTTCGACATATTTATGCTATATGATTGGCTGTTGAGCTTACTCTGACCTATTAACCTTGAGTTCTAGCACGTTAAATCAATTATCTCTGCGATCATTTCCTCCAATTTATCTTTGACCCCTCAAGCCGATCCTCACAATGCTCTCCAGCTCAATGTTCCCATCCCACCACCTACGAAAGAATCCCGGGAACAGGCAGTTACCATGGCCAAGAAAGCGATGGAAAAAGCGGTTACGGCAGTGCGGGATTCGAGAGGTGTTGTACACAAACGACTCCAAGACATGCAGAAAAAGAAGACTGCTAGACCGGACGATGTGCGAAAGGCACAGGAACAGATGGAAAAACTCTCAGAGAAGGGGCAGAAAGATGTGAAAGAACTATTTGAAACAGCAAAGAAGGCCATGGAGAGAGCATAAAATGAACTGGCAATCACGCCTCTTTCTCACAGCGAGGCCAGAGGTCATGAACATTTACAGCTTCTAGAAACTGCTTTCCAGTCGCCGAGAGTCACAACCGGGAGCCCAAGCCACATCAGCAAAAGCAACGTATGTAAGAATAGATGACTAAGTATACATGGAAGTACAGCAAAAATGAGGACGGTTAAACACGTCTTGTAGGACGGCCAGAGGTCAGAAGTGATTCCACCTTAGCAAAGAACTGCGTATCCTTTCCAGCTGTGAGATATGACCCATTGTTTTTCAAATTCGTCGCAATTTGATCTAGGACGGGAGATTGGGCAGACTGCCCACTTAAGGTCGCTGGGTATTTACCCTGAACGAGCAATTCAATCAGAGTCTTTCGATCCTTTTCGTCAATTGGGCTGAAAGTGACTTCGATAGGCTCAACCAAATCGCCTTTTCGCTGTGAGAGCTTGTCCGCAAGTAATTGAGACAGCCTCCTTGCCTCTGCTACAGCAAATGACTTCTCCTCCTCGTCCAAGAAGCGGACGTATCTGCCTTGGAAAAGCCGCTTGCCCATTTCTGTAGGAGAAACATAACCGTGGGCGAAGCGGGCGCTGATCGACGACAGTGTCTCAGCAACTCCAGCTGTATGGGCACCGACATCGGTGGGCAGAGATGGCCACGTCTCCCTTAGCGAGTCTAAAGTGACGGGCTCTGGATCATAACGAACGGAGACGGGCTTTGCTTGCTCTTCAAGTTCACGGAAAACGTCTTCGATTCCTTGTCCATCGATCGCCTCATCCGTATCGACATCTGATGGGTTGCGTGTGCGACGTTGCGTCCGATCTTTGGCTGTGGACTTTTGCGTGGGAGGTCTCGGTCCGCGGCTCCGGGCAGATGTTAAGTTCTGAGGAGTCCGAAGTCTCGGCCCCCTTATGATGTTGGTGGGCTGAGAACCGCTTCGACCGGCGGCTAAGGATCTTGCATCAATAACTCTTCGAGGAAGAGGACGATCGGAGCCCGTGTTTCTGGGATTCAGGCGAGCTGGCGGGATAATAGGCCTTCTAGGTCGAGCCTGGGAGGTTTCGCTTGAGTTCGAGGTGGACGAGGTAGTGACTCCTCGAGTATCTGGGATGATTAGGACCAAACAGTGAAATATAAATATATGCCCAAGTCAAATAGAAGCCCCCAAGAGTGTTATCGAAGATTCATCGACACAACCTAAGCGAAGGTATCAGGCAGCCCCATGGTTGGCACCACCACAAAATTTGCAGACTTACCGGATCGAGGCGTATTGGTTTGGGCCAACAAGTCAGTGGCAGAAAGGCAACGGATAAATGCATGAGGCTTTTCACCTAACTTAGCACACCCCTGGTGTAAAAGCGGAATCCGGGATTGAAACATCTTCGATGGCGAGGAAGATGTATCACAGCTGAGTTCAGGTAAGTGTAAAATTGTTTGTTCCAAGCCGCGGATGCTACATGATCACGTGCCTATGATTGCCTCGCCAGGCTATCATATCCTCCTGCATTCTTACCATCCAAACCCGGTTCAAAGTGTCTATTTTCACACGCTTCATTCATCGATTGATTCAAGACCTATGCTCAAAATGCTACGCCGTAAACCAACCGCGATAGCCGTGACGTCAGAAGACCTTACTGCTTTCGAAGAAGCGCGACTTCGCAAGTTCACTCGAAGCAGCGGAAATACAAATCATGCCACGGACACCTATCCTGTCAACTTTGATCCAAACGATGAATTGAAACCTTTGCCTGGAGACAAGGCAAGAATAGTTCGTTCGCGTGAGGAACGTATAGGCGTTTCTCGTCATCATTGAACAACCGCAAATTTCGTTTTCGCGACTGCCTCACCAATTTTCCCTTGCACCTTGGACAGGTCGTTGCTGGTCTGCATGCTATCCAAATCTTACTCGCCCGCCTCACACGGCTTACTGTGGGAATTGCATTTCGAGACAGCCCATTGTTCCTTGTACCCTAGATCCTTGTCACGCGGCCAATGTCCATCACACAGAACCTACCTTTTATGCTCATTCTTGGAACACTCGAAGCCTTAGACGAGGCTGAAAAGTATAAAATTCACCTGAAATTCTTGAGTGTTGCATATCTGCACTTTCCTGTTTGCACAAGGTCCAGAATCTCTGATCTACATCAGGTCGTGTTTTGCATTTACTTGACCAGTGAAAGAAAGATAGCCATTGCACGCCTCAAACAACCCGGTTGTGCTATTGTTGCAGATGGGAGGACACTAGAGCATCTACGCTCATGAAGAATGTCGTTTCAGACCACCAAAGGTGTAAATGATATGCTTTGTCCCCGTTGTCAGTGATTGTGCATGATACCGTGCAAGTGTACGTATAGAGGGTATAGAGATCAGAGCTGTGAAACAAGCACTCTCGACAGTATTTATGGCAAAGTAAAAGGACGTGCATGGAAGAAATAAGTGATCTGCTGAACCAATACCAACCAGTAGGCACCAATCGCATGCAGAAGCAGCTGAACATGAAGATAACTGGTGCTATCATAGGCAAGAAGAATCTCATAAAGCTCATGAATGTTGTCGTTTGGAAACTTCCTCTGTGCCCAAGTCGAGAGAATAATTCCAGCGTCTTTTTAACCCGTTAGGGTCATACACGCTGGCAACGCTCTGTTGCCAGTCACGTGCAGTAAAAAGTACTTGTTGCCCTGTAAATTGAGCTTGTGGTAATGGGTGAGAGGGGGCGATTGGGCCAACTTTCGTAGTCGGTGTGCTATATTGGACCGGAAATTGACCTGCAATAGTTGACTGCATTGCCTGCGGATGATTACTCATGGCCATAGGCGGGGAATTGGTATTGACCGTGGGTGGCCCAATAGAGAATGCCATGTCCCATTGGCTTCATTGAAATTAGGTGTGTGTTAGTGATAATTGCGACAGATGAGATAAAACGGTAAGGGATTCACTCTTACTTGATGATACGAGTGGGATCCCAACTACTCTCATCGACCAAAGGCGCATCTATACTGTGGCTCGAAATCGACTGGGACGGGATTAATCCCAACGGCTGAAGCTGAGATGAATCCGACTTTGACACCTCAGTAACAGTAGACACTGGAGGGGTAATTTGATATGCTGCATGACCCACTCTATTCGGAAAATTGGAGGATTGATTCAGTTGAGTACCGTAGCTCGGATCGAGCGGTGGGCTTGGGTGGTATGGCTCGGATGGGCTGCCGTACGGGAAGGTTGCCTTCAGTTCGAATGGTCGATGGACATCAGCAGAAAATGCGAAACGCAATGAATCTATTTGTGCTTGTAATTCTGGCATGGGCCAAGCAGTCGAGCATCGCTCAAGGATCCTCATGTGTCGAGTGAAATACTCCCTGGCGTCTGTATGGAAATTAGGATCTGGTGATGTTATAGCGACCTAGAGAACGGTTAGCGATAGCCCCAGCGATTGAGAAAAGAGTGTTGTGACTCACAAGGTGTAGCATTGTGCAGGTAAGGACAGTGTAGATTGTGAAATTTATGCCCCGTTGCATGAAAAGAAGGCCAGATAGGCCAAAGCGATTCAGAATGGCTTCCTGTAGTCTACATAAGTACTTGGCAGAAGAATAACACAACGCCATATGCATCTTCCAGCCTCCCCCGGCAGTGAAAGATTTTGACGCGAGTAGCTGAGGCCGATGTAGCAGAATAATCCCAAGATGGCAATGGGAATGCATGTTCCCAACGAAATGGGAGGGAATCCAAGGAGGTGAGCCATCAGGCGGATAATTCACTTGTAGATCAGGAGGCAGACTCTGAAGCCAGTCAGTGAATAAAGGGTTCTTCTCGACAAATTTAGGGTTCGCTCCCCAGTCTTTTTGCTTCTTGATCTTGTGGTATATGTCCGCAATGATGCGAATATGGGATGCGTTCTTAACAAAATACGCATACTGCCTAGATCGATCAATCTCAAATTCATCAAGACCCCTAATATCCAGTGTCGGACTCATGTTCACAGTGCTCGGGTCGACACCATAATCCGAGCGGCCTGGCAATGTCAGTATCCTACGAACCACGAAAGACTTAACGACATACCCTGAGGAGCACCGATCATGACCTCGACGACTAGGAGGGCTTGCCACACCCTTGTTTGCACCAAGCACTCGACAGGATTCAAATCACAGCGTCGTTCCTCCACATGAATGTTATTATGCTCATGTATATCCAAATCTTTGGCCATCGAGACAATAGTCTTGACTGTTTGCCATGAGCGGTAGTAATAGCCTTTTTTGGGCCGTGATTCTCGAGCCTTGAGAAGTAAGAGTAATGCCTGAATTGTGCTCAGCCGCGGCTCATCCATGAAGCTGGATTCGTGTCCTGGAATAAGAGGTTGGTATTAGAACAAGAGGATCCTTGACAGGCTGCAGAGAGGGGCTACACTGGCTCACTATTTGCTAACGCTAGCCATTGGGCTCCCTGAGCTGGATCATCCGACAACCTTCCAGCGCATGCAAACATGGCCTCGAGTAACAACGGTGAGATTGAGCTCCGTTCATGCTGCCACTGGAAGTACAGATGGGACCTATGAACAACCGGAACATAAGGGTGTATGTCATCGAAGTAGATCTTGAGATATTTCATGACCTCATCATCTGACGGCATAAGCTCAGGTGGAATACGTATGGTGGAACCGGCACCAGTACTGAGAGGAGGGAGCTTCTCGTCCGCATCATCCTGAGTTGGGATTTCTGACTCGGCTCTCTCCTTTCTTTGCTGTCTGATGTATGGCGCTGCGTGGCCGTAAGCTACCGGTTGTAACAGTTGCTAGGCTGTATAATGCTTACCAATGCCGGTCTCATCTATCCTGAGCTCGCCGAGAACTTCACTCAGATTCTCCGCAGTTGACGGGTCATGTTCGCTAAAAACGTCCCTTTCCGTAGCGCCTAGCGTCTGCGCATGGCCACCTGTGAAGCTTTGTGGTTGCTGATAGGAGTCATGCGATACAGGCACATGCGACGACCGTAGGTCGTAAGCGGCCGACTGACTAGAAGTGGGCTGCGCAAATTGTGTATAGACACCGAGTTCATCGTGATAAGAATTCATGTGCCCTGCAGGATGTTGTCCGCTATCTCTGAAGGCTTGCGATACTGCAAACGAGGAAACCGAAGATTCTGGTGCATTAGACGTTGATAGAGAACCTCCGGAGTTTGGCTCGATACCGTGCCCAGCAAAATATTCGTTGTCTTGCCCAATCGTGGGGGGGACGCATACAAGTTTCAAGCGGGTACATGCTGAGCATGGCCATGTATTGGTCGTGGCAGCATCACATTTGATTTTCCGCTTCCTACAACCATTGCAGGCTCGCATGACTATTGATATAGTGTTTAGTCTCAATTGGCTGCGAGGTTTTGAGAAAATAGCTTCACAGCGTACCTTTGAGTCTTTTATGCCGATTATGTTCATCGACAAAGACATAATCTGCATACAAGCCATCAACAACTTGAAAAAGCAAATGACTAAGATGTGCGAGGATGGATGAGGTGGCAAAGACTTCAAAATATGCAATGCGGAGAAAACCTACTTTTTTGCCCTTCTCTTGGGGCACCAACGGGTGTTGCGAATGAATAGCTCTGCATATTGGCGCACTTGAAAAAGTCACTAAAGTAGCTCGGAATGAAGCCAAGGCCAGCTCGTGAACGGCATATAACGGGCGCTGCTGCCAACTATTTTTGGAGGATGTCCGTAAGGCCTGCCTTGTCCGGATGACTCGAAATGTATTAGACAATGCGGCCGACGGAGAGCGCCTGAGACAGAACTGCAGGGGAAGCAGAGCGAAACTGATCGCTTTGCCTGACACTGAAAATATTGCGATCAAAGCAGCCCCTTTTATGGCTGTGAATTATATGCCATGGAAGAGCCGTGTCACTAAAGCTGAGCGGGAAGTAGTATCTCTATATCGAAGGCTGCTTGCTGGTGAAGACGATGCACTCCACGGATTCGATCATGCATACGCTCGAACATGCAAGATTATAGGTGCAATAATGAGGTATTCAAAAAGCTCTTGTTGTTTCGCAGTATAGACTGACCCGGACAAATGTTGCAAGTCGGCACCAGGATGTCACAGCGTAAGTACGGACCCAAAGATGAATCGAAATCCGGACAAATATGAATGAAAGTCAGACAAGTAATTCGCAGCCCAGAGATATTTCGAGTGAATAGAAAGAAGCTGCATCCGTGAACTATGAGATGTCAGTTTTATTTTGAGACATGCGCCGCTCGGTAAAGAACATGACGCCTGACAGAAGACAAGGAGCTGAATGGAACACAGCGAGACGAACAGAAGTAGCCCGCTGGCATAGGAAACAAGGAACATGAAAACGACCAGAGATGCCCAGAAGATGGGTATTAACTACGTGGCTGCCGGAGAGGCTGTGATGATTGCCATAACAGAAGGAGGTGGAGAGGGGCGCGAGAGCGGAGCGAGAGCGGACACAAATGGAGAAATGGTGAAGGGCGGGGGAGGGGGTGAGAAGAGGCAAGGGTACTTACCTTGTATCGAGGGGTATGAAGGGTTATCCAGTCTGCATTGTAGTGGAAACTACCAGTAGATTTGACCTGCCAGTGAATATTTGACTAGACAAGGAAGTGAGTATTGGCGCATCACACCCTGATTTGACGGTCACCATCTAGATTCACCCATGAAATGCGAGCACAATGCGGATGTGATCGGACGAATAAATGACAGGTAATTTAGCTAATCCATGGAGGTCACAGTTTATCAGTAAAGGGGCAAAAGAGATATGATCAAAGCCCTGAGTGCATTGAGGAAACCCACTGAGGCAATAATGTCTTTGCAGCTAAGGCACAGGAACACTCTCTGAACTGGGCTGGAGGAGTTACGGCAGGAATCCATGTTAAGTTAACTTACCTACCACCTTGGTTAGGTCATCAGGTTGTGTTGCCGCCGCGATCTTCTAGGCGGCACTATCCACGTAC